GCCTAAGGCACTTTACTGCTAACCAGAAGGCTGGCAGTTCAAATCCACCAGCCACTCCTTGGAAAGAAGGTTGGGCAATCTACTTCCGTACTGACACTGCCTCGGAAACCCAAGGAGGGGTCGCTATGAGTCGGGTCCAACTTGATGGCACATAACAACAAGAACTAGGAGAGGGAAAGAGGGAGTTTTTGTTTAGTGGGCATTAAGTTAATAGGCAGTTAACTTACAGGCAGCAGTGAAGTGCTCTTGTGCATGTTGAAGTTGAAGACAAAAGAAGTCCAAAAGAGCCAAAATATGACTTTTATAATATTTATCTTGAATTTAGAGACCATCTAAAGAATAGATTTGATGCATTGAACATCAATGACTGAAAACCAGAGGAATTGTGGGATGACATCAAGAATATCATCCAGAAAGAAACAAGAGGTCATTAAAAGGATGAGAAAAGATGAAAAGACCAAAAGGGGTCAGAAGAGACTCTGAAACTTGCCCTTGAGTGGAGAGTAGCTGAAGCAAATGGTAGAAATGACAAGATAAAAGAGCTGAACAGAAGATTTCAAAGAGCAGCTCGAACAGACAAAACCAGTTACTGTAATGAAATGTGCAAAGACCTAGAGTTAGAAAACCAAAAGGGAAGAACACACTCAGCATTTCTCAAGCTGAAAGAACTGAGGAAAAAATTTAGGCCTTGAGTTTCAATATTGAAATTCTATGAGCAAAATATTGAATGATGCAGAAAGCATCGAAAGATGGAAGGAATACACAGTCACTGTACCAAAAAGAATTAGTCGATATTCACCATTTCAGAGAGTGATACATGATCAAGAACTAATGGTGTTGAAGGAAGAAGTCAAAGCTGCATTGAAGAAAATGGTGAAGAACAAGGCTCCAGGAATTGACTAAAACCCGTTGAGATCTTTAAACAAACGGATGTTGTGCTGGAGGCACCCATTTCAGTGATGCCAAGAGATTTGCAAGACAGCTACCTGGCCAACTGACTGGAGGAGACCCAGTTTTGTACCCATTCTAAAGAAAGGTGGTCCCACAGAATGTGGAAATTATTAAACAGTATCATTAATATCACATGCATTTAAAATCTTACTGAAGATAATTCAAAAACAGTTGGAGCAGTTTATTTACAGTTGCCAGAAATGCAAGCAGAATTCAAAAGAGGACATGGAACGAGGAATAGCATTGCTGATGTCAGATGGATCTTAGCTAAAAGCAAAAAATACCAGAAAGATGTTTACTTACATTTTATTGACTGTACAAAAGCATTTGATTGTGTGGATCATGACACAATTATGGGTAAAATTGAGAAGAATGGGAATTCTGGAACACTTGATTGTACGTATGAGGAACCTGTACATAGACCAGGAAGCTGTCATTCAAACAAAACAAGGGTATACTACATGCTTCAAAATCAAGAAGGGAGTGTGTCAAGGTTGTATCCTCAATAATAAGTCACCATACTTATTAAACTTGAATGCTGAACAAATAATCTGAGAAGCTGGATTATAGGAAGAACAATGTGTCATCAGGATTGGAGGAAGAATCATTAACAACCTGCAGTACGCAAATGACACACCTTTGCTTGCTGAAAGTTCAGATGACTTTAAGCACTTACTGATGAATATTAAAGACTACAGTCTGAAGTATGGATTACACTTCAATATAAAGAAAACAACTCCTCACAACTTTTCCAATAAACAACTTCACAACAAATGGAGAAAAGATTGAAGTTGTCAAGAATTTCATATTACTTGGTTCTGCAGTCGACACCATTGGGAGCAGCAGTCAAGACATCAGACAACATATTGCATTGGGAGAATCTACTGCAAAAGACCTATTTCAAGTGCTAAAGAGCAAAGATGTCTCCTTGAAGACTAAAGTGCACCTAACCCAAGCCATGGTATTTTCAATCACCTCTTAGGCATATGTGAGAGCTGGACGGTGAATAAGAAAGACTGAAGAAGAGTTGATGCTTTTGAGTTGTAGTGTTGGAGAAGAATGCTAAGAGTAGCATGGTCTGCTAAAAGGACTAACAGATCTGTCCTGGAAGAAGTGTAGCTGTAATTCTCCTTGGAAGCAAGAATGGCCAGACTTCCTCTCACCTGCTTTGCCAAAGGGACCATTCCCTGGAGAAGGATGTCATACTTGGTAAAGTGATGGGTCAGTGAAGAAGGGGAAGGCCCTCGATGAGATGGATTGATACGGTGGCTGCAGCAATGGGCTCAGGTACAGCAAGGATTGTGAAGCTGGGACAGAAGAAAGGGAGTGCTTTGTTCTGCTGTGCATAGGGTCGCTGTGAGTCAGACAACTCGACAGCACCTAACAACAAGTTTACATTAATGGTGGTATTATGTTTTTAGAAGGATAACAGGAATGGATGCACAACTTGACAAATGTAATCAGTGTCACTGCATTATTGTACATGTAGAAGTTACTGAAATGGTATATTTTTTGTAATGCATGTTTTCACCACAATGAAATTTTAAAAGTCACCCTTGGTTGTATTTTTATATAATTATTCAGATTGAGTTTTTATAGCTGAAATTATATTGGTGAAACCTAGGTTATGTATGTGTTATGTTGAAAACAACTTATATCAGTTTATTAAACAGAATTGATTATTATATATTCTGCTTATAAATACCTATATAAATAGAAAAGTTGGCAGTTTGCTAGTACCCCTTCTAAGTATCAGCGTTTCTAAGATAATCTCAGTTTCTTTTACCATGGTTCACCTTTACTGATTTTCTGTTCTGACTTAAATTTTTTTCATTCAACAGTGGTTGGTTCTGCACGTGCACGGCCTAGTCAACTTCCTGAGCAGTCTTCCTCTGCACAACAGAATGGTAGTGTTTCAGATATATCTCCAGTTCAAGCTGCAAAAAAGGAATTTGGACCCCCTTGTATGTAAATCATGTATCAAGGATTCAGTCATTCTAGGCATACATGTATTCTCTCTTGGTCATCCTTATGACTTCCCAAATGATAAACAGTCTAATTACAAACTTGAATGCTGATAATACTTTATTACTGGAAATTTTAATTTTTTTCATTTTCTATTTAGTCTGTTAATTGGGTTTTTTAATTGTACTTTTTAAAGAAAAATTTTTATTTAAATATAACATTATAACAATATTTCAGTTGTTTTGAATTTTAAATTCTGCACAGATGATAATTTATCAAATGTTATAGAAGAAATTCACATACTTCTTAATCCTTTCCCAATTATGATTCTAAACCAAGAAGAGATGACATATGTAACATATTTGTTTGAGTCATTTTTATTGGCTCTTATTTGTATGTTGTCCTGTTCTACTTTTGTTAAAGCAGCTCATACATAAAGTTCACATAGGCATGCTTTGTCACTGTGTACCTTTTTATGTGTGTTTATGGTGAAATTGGGAGCTCTGGTAGCGTAGTGCCTAAGGCACTGGACTGCTAACCAGAGGGCTGGTGGTTCAAACCCACCGGTAACTCCTCGGAAGGAAGGTGGGGCAATCTACTTCCATAGTGATACTGCCTCAGAAACCCAAGGAGGAGTCGCTATGAATCGGGTCCGACTCCATGGCACATAACAATAACAACAATATGATGAAATTAAACAAAATTTTTGTATGTAAGTACAGTAGCTTAAGAAAGAAAAATTACAGCTCATGTTTTTTTTTTTTTCCTTTCAGCACGAAGAAAATCTAATTGTGTGAAAGAAGTAGAAAAATTACAAGAAAAGCGAGAGAAAAGGAGACTGCAACAGCAAGAACTTAGAGAAAAGAGAGCCCAGGTTTGTAACGTAAAGCATGTGTTGTATTTATGTACCAAGTGAAGATTAAAATACTATGTTGGTACAGTACTGCGTTGTCAGTGAAGGCAAACATGGGTATATGGGTGGATAGATGGGTGGACAGGCTGAACTATTGGGTATGTCTATGAAATGGGGAATGTATCCAAGAACATGTATAGGGTTGGCAGACAATAGTCTTAAAAGTTTATGTGAATGATCAGAATTCACAGGTGTATAGTAGAGCTGACAAGGGGCAAGGTTGTGGTAACTGCTTGGTCACAGCCGGCTACCCAGAGGGACGGAGTAGTTGAACCTGTGGGCTTCGAACCATAGTCACAGGGGACATCAAGCTCAATTGGCATAACATACTATACAAAATACTGTTCTACCTCCTACTTTAGTGAGTAGCGACTAGGATCTTAAAAGCTAACAAGCTGCCATCTAGATGCAACGATGGGTCTCTCCTC